TGGCTATTTTTGTGCTAAAAAAATCCTCGAATATCAAGCATTTCTTGCATTTATGGATGGATTCTGTTCAAACTTATAACACACATTAGACATTACAGGTTTCTGATGCGCGTCATTTTATTTTTCTCGATTGGATTCAAAATGGCTGACTGGTGGCCATTTTGTTTTAATGATTGGACTTCTAGAGCCATATCTCTTAAATGCTTTGACTGATTATATTCAAATTTTATATATTCGTTATACATCATGTTATATATATATACATGTATTCAAAATGGCTGATTTTGAATGCTGTTCCAGAGCAATATCTCTCAATACGGACAAGTACTTGTTTGACGATCAGATACAAATGTCAATCATTTTAATGTTAAAAAAAATCATATCCCCGACATGGTTATATTCCAGCTATATTACTATAAACAAAACTATATATCTTAAATTTGATAACTAACTGGTACTGTGCCATGCATGGCTTGTTCATTTACAGATGGAATGTGACTTTTATGGATTATTCATCTCATGTGGCGACTGATAATTCAAAATATGGTGAGTGGGTTTGTGTATCGCAGGTTGATTATATTTTGGATGACTATAACTTAATAAAATTATTTATGAATATTTGGACAAATAAATAATTGAACAAAAACTAGAATAACAGTAGATGTATTTATTGCTTGTTCTGGCAGGCTGTAACTTCCTTGTGATTTTGTAGCTCACTGAAATACCACAGTAAAGCAGCAATTGGGATTGAAAATGCATTATGTGTTATGGTACACTGCTAAGATTTTGTAATTATCACAAACACTATAGATTGCTGTTCATTTGTTTGATGTCAGTGAAACATGTATCACCTGTTGAAAACAACCATGAATAGCCATCTACATGTATAAAATGATTTTGTACAATTTGTGCCTTTCCCCATGAAATGTTAATACAAAATTACACTCATTTTGATCAAAAACTAAAAGCAATATCTAAAACTATCTGTATGGTCCAAAATGATGATGACATTTTAGTAACAATTTTACAAAAGCAGGAAAAATATCTAGCATCAAGTATGCACATTGATGAATGTCACAGTGTTGCCTTGATGTGATTAAAGTGCCTGTGCAATGCCCACCCTCACGTTTCCCATTTTAGATCTGTATCCCACTGAAATGGGCAGTTATTGATTTTTTTGCTGAAAATGATTACTCGTATCCAAGTAACTTTGGGATATTTCTCGTGTTGTGGCCACACCCACCTATCCTGAAACGGTTGACTGTTTCCGGATTTCCGACTCTCGCCGAAAGTGCGCCACCAAAATGCCAAAATATGAGAGGAAGTCATACCCCTGAGCCGTAATAACACTGGTCATTCAGTATACTTTTAAACGATATACATTTTTCAGTCGGCGTTTTTTTTCTTTCTTTTTTTGTCTATTTTCTTTTTTTTTGAGAGAGAGAGTTTTTAGATGTTGTGTTGTGGGCAGTTGCAGTGAAACATATAGTCATAGTGTAAGTATTCACACGTTTCTAATCGATCAGAAGGTGCGACATCAGTGAACGAAAGCCACTTAACCTCAGATTCATTTTTTGGAAAAACTGTCCTCGTCCATGAAAAAAACAACTAGGTTTAAAGAGAAACGCTGACAACATTTCTTTTGAAAGAAATAGATTCCGGACCATGATCACCGAGGCGGATTTCAGAGGAGAGAGAGACGTCCGGCAAGTGTTTCAAATGAGTTGACTTTTTTGCGATCCTGATTAT